GCCCAAACGGCTTTTTGAGTGTGGGTGGCCAATAAGAACATTGCTCCTTTACATATATCAGTCTTACTAGCACAGCCTGTTTAACATTAAGGGATAAAGAAAGGATGACAATAGCCATAAAAATTAGTTATGACCTATATGAAAATATAGAATATGGGCCTTTTTAAGAAAGATAAAGCAATGAAATTGGATTTAAAAGAACTTATCAAAAACTTTTTTTTTAACTGTGTGAATAATATGTATCAATAAATTATTATTATTATTATTATTATTAATAATATATTATTAGTAATTTAGTAATTAAGTAATTGTGACAGCTCTTTCTAAGTGACTGATCCCTCACATGGTACATTGACAGCAGTAGGAATGCGGCCTGCTTGGAATTCTTCTGGATTTCGGATGTCGAACAACTGGATATTACGGCTGGCCAGCATCGCCTTAAGCTGTTCTAGTGTCACCACCGAATCTGAAATCATGAAACCACGGTTTATAAATTAGTCATACCGTAAGACTATTTCCTCAAACTTGGCTTTTAAACCTGTTCCACAAAGAAGGACTAGAAGGATAAAAGGATAAAAGGTGAGTGTCACACATGACCTGACGACATCAACTGATTTGGACAACAATCATTATGCTGTGATCAGCACATAGTAAGAGCTCTAAGCCAACCACAACAGAATGAGGAAAAAAGCGTGCACCAAAGAAGAAAAGCAGATTTTCCGTTCATAAATTGGATGAAGTAAATATGTTTAGAAGTTCAGGGAGCTCTTCATGAACATGTTACATATTACGATAAGGGACAAGCCCTGGTAAAGATGCCCTATGACCCTCACAGTCAGAGCTATAGATTTCCCAAAGAACTTACAAATGCTCAAAAGCCATGAGATCTTCTAGTATTAGTTTTTCAGCGTGTATTAAACAGTCTCTACGTATGAAAATAAATTTTAAATACCCATCAGAAGAACAGAACACATTTTAATTTACATTGATCATGTCTAGCATATTTATGGAGATTTTTCCCTCTTTTTTTTTTACCACGATTAGCTGGATCCTCACTGCACTTGACAGCTGATGTCCTGAGTCCACGGCCAGATGTGACTCCCCCATAGTAGTAAATGGAGGAAAAGGGTTTAATAGCAGAGCTAATGCGCCGCAAAGCTGGAAAGACAGTCATTTCTGTGGGGTCCCTCAGAAAAGCCACAGAGAGACCTGAGACCTAGCTGTTTTATAGTGCGGTGTCGTGGCTGCCCCCTGGTGACCGTGCGGCTTAAAACCAGCTTCAACTATAACGTTTTTTTTTTTTTCATTTTGTTTAAACAGTATCTTGGAAGAATTAAACGTAGAAGTATTTATATTGAACCTATTCAAATGAATTCAAACATAAATAACAAAGTAAAAATAAAGTCACAAATTGAATAAATGAAGTAAAATAAAAAGCTAAATAAGTAAATTAATAATAATAATAATAATAATAGTCTACAATTAGGATGCCATAACTCTGGATTTATGAATATGAAATTTGCCCAATAAGGTTAATAGTTTCATAACCTAATTCATTCTACTTGAATTAACATCATAGTAACTATAAAGTTGCATATTTAAGTGAACGCAAACTGAAGACACAACCAAGTCGAGCACACAGCAGATGAGCACACAGTCTCACTTTTGACAAGTTGCTTATCTTTTGACAATTTTGAGTGATGAGATGCTGTGACACAAATTCACAAAGTCAGATTAATGTTCTGTACTTTTACAAGTGTGCTTTATCCCTTTTCACAGCGCTGAGTTCTGTTAAAAAAAGTTATTTTAATTCAAAGGAAGATTCCACAGAGTTTTTAAAACGTATGTATCATTCAATCAATAAGATATCGAGAGTGGTTTGATGTGAAATGCTCCATTCTAGAGAAACTTACCAAGTCTGAACTGTTCACAATGGTGGTGATAGGAACCGGACGTCTGGAGAGTTTAAAGAGAAATTCGAAGAATTGTTCTACATTTCTGCATGGTTAAATTAAGACAAGACCTAAGATACCAACAAAGTAACTCAGAGCAGTTTGATGTGAAATCAGAATTGTGGTGGTGATAGGAACCAGGCATCTGGAGTGTTTAATGGCTCTGAAAGGTCCCTTACAGAGAGTTATTACATTAAATGGTTATGAATATGCTGCCTAAGGTAGTGCCAATGATGACCCAACTTTTAGTCTTAGCTTAGGTTTAATCTGGGTCTATGATACTGACCCTAAGACTTTTCATTTGGACTTTGTGATGCACTGATTTTAGGACTTTGGGAAGCTGAACATTAATTACAGTAAGTGACTGTATTAAAAAACTAGCTTACTCAGTGAATACCCACAAAGCTAACCAAAATACAACCTTATGGAAATGATTAGGGAGTATATGATTAAAAACAGAGGTGGGTAGATAAAACAGCTTGGGAAGTAGTACAGAAGTATCAGGTAAAAACATAAGTACTGAGTTCCTTACAGAACTGCAGCAAAGCTTCTTTGTACATCCAGCATCTATAAGCATTGATGCTAGAGGTACAAATAACAGGCTGAAACTTGTTAGCCTCTATTTTTCTCATAAAATTCTTCATAAAGCAGCCCATGTGCTGAAGCAACAGAACTGAATAAAATGAAAAAGAATCAGTAACTACAATGAAAATTAGGAGAAAGTGAAAAAAGTAGATTGTTTTCCTTACAAATACAGTACTGTGCAAAGGTTTAACGGACCACAGAAATTTCTGTGTAAAGTTGATAATTGTAAAACAAAGTGGTAAATCTGAAAAAATAAGTTTTCTTTGGGGACTGCTTTGCCTAGTTATACCCTGCATGTACCAAGAATAGATTTTAAAAATATGTATCAGGACAAAGCCTTCTTTCAAAACAGTGTCTCAGACATCCAGCAGTGTACTTTCTGTGATGTAGCTTTTAGAGGCAAAAAAATCTTCAGACGTCTGGTTCCTTTCACCACCACTGTGAACAGTTCTGACTCTGTGCGTTTCTCTAGGAATATTTCACATCAAACCACTCTGAATGACTTTGATTACATCTTAATTACATCACTGTATACATGTGATTTTCTATTAAAAAAAAAAAGTAAATGACTATTTTTTCTACACAAAATGTGCAATATTATTGCACTGAAAAGCTACGTCAGGACTATTAAACCCAGACTCTCTTGCATTGTAGTTTATTTCTCCCTTGGTTTGCTGTTTCAGGTGTGTTTACTTTAAACACAGCAGGCCTTAAGCAGCAGAACTGAGGACCTCATACACTATATAGCCAAAAGTATATGGACACCTGACCATCCCACCTATATGAGTTTGTTGGACATTCCATTCCAAACCATAGGCATTGATACAGTGTTGCCCCCCTTTGTGGCTATAACAGCCTCCACTCTTCTGAGATGGCTTTCCACATGATTTTGGAGTGTGTCTGTGGGAATTTGTGCCCATTCAATCAAAAGAGCATTTGTGAGATCAGGCACTGATGTTGGGCGAGAGGGCCTGGCTCACAAGCAATGTTCCAATTCATCCCAAAGGTGTTCAGTAGGGCTGAGGTCAGGGCTCTGTACAGGCTGCTGAAGTTACTCCACACCAAACTTGTCAAATCATGTCTTTATGGAGCTTGCTTTGTGCACTGGGGCACAGTCATGCTGGAACATGAAAGGGCCTTCCCCAAACTGTTGCCATTAAGCTAGAAGTATATTACTGTCTAAAATGTCTTGTTATGCTGTAGCATTACCCTTCACTAGAACTAAGGGGCCTAAACTCTGAAAAACAGCCCCAGACTGTTATACCCCCTCCACCAAAATTTACTTTTGGTACTATGCATTCCGGTAGGTAGCGTTCTCCTGGCAGCTGCCAAACCCAAATTCGTCAATCAGACTGCCAGATAGTGAAGTGTGATTTGTTACTCCAGAGAATACATTTCCACTGCTCCAGTCCTTTAATTATCAAAAAGTCATCTTTAATTTATTTATTGTTCGTGTTTTTCATTTTTAACCATGAAAAAGTAACAAGAGGTACAAATAACATTCAATAACCAAAAATATACATATGATGTTCACTGCCAGGGGTACATAGAGAAAAAAGAAAAGAAAAAAATTCCATCACATTATATTATATTCTTTTATCATATTGATTGTCTTTTGTGCTTTCTTATTTTCCATATATTGTATAAGGATGACATATTGTTTGAAATCTTCCAAAAAGTGCATAAGATTAGGTTTGGGGACAATTTTACTTTCCTAATAAAAGAAACTTTCCTAATAAAAGAAACAATTATATGATATACAATTTTCTTACTTCAAACTCAACATTAAACACATCAATCCATATGATACTCCCAACCATTTTCTCAGTAAAGTTTTGCATATCTATCCAAAACATTATCTTGTAAATACATGATAAAAGAAATAAACAATCATTTCTTTCTATAATCCACAAAGACTACAGGTATAATCTATATCTAAACTAAATCCTTCCAAAACATGTTTCACTGGCTAAATTAAGCATAACACCTTAAATGACACTTCTGTGAAAAGATGACCACAAAAGTCTTGCAGCAGGGAATGTCACATTACAAATAACATTTCTAATTACCTTATTACTACATTCATTTTAACAATATCAATATTGGCATTTTTTTTTACCAAAACTGTTAAACATATTGAAGTCTGTTAAACTAAAATAAAATGACAAAATAATAATGATATACATTTGGGGATTTCATCAAATACAACTGCTTATTATTGTGGCTTTACTAGTGCCTGAAAATATTCAAGGAATTTACCATATGATAACAACTGTCCATTTGCATTAAACAGTTCTCCCACCAGAAGAGCCCGAAAACCCCAAGAGTGATAAAACAGTGATTTATTTAAAAATAATGTATCTTTATTATTCTAAATTATTGTTTTTTTTTATAATTATAATAACTATATTTATATATGGCGTCATTAAACGCGCATGCGCAGATCGAATTCAGTCCTCCGCAGTCACACATGCGCAGTAGCGCAATACCGGTCAGACGCTCCGGATCAGCGGCCCAAAACGACGACGGAGTAAACGGAGTCAGCTGTTAAACAGGTTAGTCTCACAAGAATTGGACACTTTTAGTAACAATCCTTTATTTATACCACGATAGCTCCCGATACTGATCAGACATCTCTGAAAATCGCACCGTAGAGGAGCGGAGAAAGACACCGGCGAGGCGGCTCCGTTCAGCGGGCTGTGGCGCATGCGCACACCGGGGCCGCGGGGCTTTATTCTCGAAAAAGCAAAGACGAGTCCGAGACAGCTGGAAACGTTTCTTTAGCCTTATTTCGTAATTTCTACAGTCTAATTAAAATATCCTACTGTGTGGTTGTTCTTCGTTGAAGTGATACTGGCAGTGAGGTTTTAGATCGTGCTTTAGATTAACGCACATCTGATTTGTGTGCCGGGCAAATTCCACATTCACGAGATTGTTAAGATTTTTTAAGACCCCAGATAAACATTTCTTATAGATTTAACATCACAACTGCTTTATTCAGTCGTTGTGCAACACTCCTCCAGTTTAACGTTAAGCATTTCCAGACATCCTACATCATTAAGTTACACGAAGCTGAAGCCTCTTATTCGAATTTTCTCGTTCCACCTTAAGTTAAATGGTGCAGCAGTTACGGGCGCCAGAATGTCACTGCTGCACCATTTAAGGTGGAACGGAAAACTTCGAATAGGAAGCCAACTTGAACGTCGTTTAGGTTTAGGTTACCTTTTTGGACAAATTGTCATAATGTTATGTTGTTTCCGTTGTATCTTTCCTTCTTTTGGTAACTTCTGGTTATTTTGTTTCTCACCTTATTTACCTGTTTTTCGTTATGTTGTCGTAGTTGTTTGTATTGTTAAATAATTACTCACACCTTAAAAGGAGTCTGTCAGGGCGCTGTGTTAGCCTGGAAAGCTAGGCTAAGCTAATATAGCTCGCCAGCCTCTTTTTACCCGGTTAGCGAGCTGGCTTAGTGCCACACAAAATGTAACCCGAAGTACTACACATATCCGTAATACCCCTCTGAGATGATCATATCTGGCCCGTAGATGTCACCCACTTGTGTGTGTGGTGCAGATTAGCTAGGCTAGGCTAAGCTAAGCTAGCTTTTAGCGATGGTTGTTTATTTAACCTAGTTGGGCTGGTGGTGACTGTTAACCTTGGTGCTGAACTTAGCCAGTGGGTTTAGTGGAAATACTTGCTGCCAGTGTCATTACTGGGTTCACATGTAAGTTAGTATCGAGGTATCTGTCAGCCCTTGCTTGAGTCCTTATTTATTTCTTCGTTCGATCTAGAACTTTTTGATTTGAGAAATATAGCTAGATGTTGTAGCTGGAGTAATGGCTCATGTTACTAACAGTAGCTGTAACTTGAACTTAGTCAGAAGGATGTTTTTCCACTATACGGCACAAATAGGGATGCGCCGATTATCAATTTCTATGGTGTTACATGAATATATGTAACCCTAGCACATTTCCAGCTATTTCTATTAGCCAACGTTACAACATAGCTTAGTAACAGCATTTTCTCTTTAACAGGCTAAAATGGCATTTTTTAAAAACACCAAAATAAATCAGTTGTCTGTTTAGATAACATGAATCAAATAAATTCCTAAATTAAAAGTAACAAGAGTCTGGCTATCTAGCACAATTATGCTATTACATTTTGGTCCAGCATGAATGCACTTAACTTATGTTATTCTCTTTAAAACTGCAACACAGATCAGCCAGAATAAAAATAATACACTGGCTGATTGATCTGTTGATTCCCATCTTGGCCGATTCCCATTGCCGCAAATCTAGTTTGCTGCTGCGTAAGGCATTTCTTTGAATCTGGAAAAGTGCAGAGGAGAATCTTTGCATTGACGAATTTTGGTCTGTTTTTATTACTTATTACTTATTTATTACTGTTTTAATACTTTGTATTTATTATGGCACTCTAATGGTACCATGGCTTATGACGCATGGTAGGGATTCATTTTGGAGAAAAAAAGGAAATCTAGAACGCTATGAAGACTTTTGAAACTCAAGACTTTAAGGGGGAATTCCAGTTTTTTTTCATAATTTATTGCACTGTTTGATTGTTAAGATGTTAACAGTGTCATTCAGAGTGGTTTGACATGAAATGCATCATTCTAAAGAAACGTATCGAGTCTGAATTGTTCACAGTGGTGGTGATAAGAACCAGACGTGTGAAGGGTTTAAGGTCTTTAAAAGATTCCTCACAAAGTTATTACATGAAATGGAAATGGTTATGAATACTTTGCCTGATGCCTGATAGCTTTCTGACAAAATTTTGGCCCAGAACATATTTTAAAGTACATTCGTAGTGGAGTGGTCAATGCAGGGTGTTGTAAGATGAAACAGTACTAAAAAACTTTTATTTTCAGATTTGCCCCTATTGTACCCTCATAAACATTACATACAAAATCTCAGAAGACAGATTTAGGTTCAATAGCAATTTTGAATGGTAAATAAAATGGCTATATTTGTGTTGTAGACATTGTGACCCCTAGTCTCTATCACCATCACTGTGAAGAGATGAGAGCTATAAAGCACCATTTTACATTAAACCACTGTTAACTTATGTCAGTAAGTCAATGATATTGTAACTTTTTGGTTGGAAGAATAAAACTGTTTTGGCCCCTTTCCTTTTCCAGTACCATTGCCATGATGTACTATTAGTTTCCTGAACGTGGATTAAGGCTTGTTTTGGACTAAATTTTTAAGTTACAAGTGATTCAGTATTGGAAATCCTTTTTAGTGTAGGTTTAGGATTACTGTCAGTCTGGGAATCCAGCTGCAGTTGATTTGATTGTTTGCACACTGGCGGGATCTTGTATGCTGCAGTGTTCTTAAGAAACTCACAACTCGGGCAATAAGACAAGTTTAGAAAGTGGCTGAAAGCTTGATCACAGTGAAAGATGGTTGTTTGCTCCACTGTTTATGCTCACAAATCTGTCCGGATACTTTTTTTCCACCATCCTGTGCCAATCACAAGTTAAGAAGCTTCTGGAGCATGAGAAGCAGAAAACAAAAACCCGCATTACTTTGCTGGCGGTGTGTTTGGCAGTCTCCCCTACTAAATTGTTTTGTTTATTTGGTTTTCACAAAAAAGTGGAACGCTCTATAGGATTTTATTCTTGATTTGTGGATTAGGTGTACATACCCGCAAGAGATGGCAAAAATGATGGGTGGGGTGGATGGATGGAGCACAGCACACCACTATTTATTTATTTATGTATATTTTTGCCAGTATTCTGTTTGGGACAGGACTATGTAAGGTTGTTTTCACATACAGCCTACCTGTTTGGTTCATTTCTTGGAGCTGTTAGAAGCCTGACTGCACTGAAAAGTGTGTATAAAATGCAAATAAATATTGTTCTTCCTAAGATACTGGTGTTAGATCCTTGCCTAAGTAGCAAACTTGTGCTTGACATCGTTGCTTTCTTGGTGAAAACTATGTTTAATTCTTCAAACACTCTGCGGAATTGAATTTCACGTGTGTAAACACCCCAAGATTGCTGTCATCTTTTTGACCTGAGGCAGAACAAGCTATTAGCTAAGGACATATTCCAGTTTACTTTCAAATCAGGCTGAAATAAGATTTTGAAAGTGGCTTGGTAACGGAGTTGATAAATACTAATGCATCTCCAGCATAGATGAACAAAATCGGTACCAATTTAGAATAAGACTACCCTTATGAAGGGTTTATAAATGGTTTAAAATTAGTTTATTAACGGTTAATACTTAGGTCATAAACAGTAATAACACATTAGTAAAAAGTTGAGCTGTTATATCCAATGAATATCCAGTGTGAGGAAGAGGATAGTTTAATGCTGACTGATGGAAAACACAAAGGAAATCAGTAAAGATCAAAATCTGAGGTTTAACAGTATAAATGAATGTGAGTTCACTATTAGGCAAACAGCAGGTCACTGTTGCCCTTTGTACTGTTCTTGTGAATGGTTTAAAATAAGTTTGTTACTGGTCATCAATTAGGGCATAAACACATTATAATCATTAGTAAGCAATTATAACACATACATAAACAGGGCTGTTGTTTGCCTAATAGTGAGCCCACATTAATTTATACTGTTAAAGTTCAGATTTTGACGCTTACTGATCTTACTCCATCAGTCAACATTAAACTGTTCATTACATATACATATTTATCAGATACGAGCTCACCTTTTCATAAATGTGTTATAACTGTTTATCAGTGATTTATAAAGTGTTAACTAAGTATTAACCATTAATAAACTCATTTTAAACCATTCATGAACACTTTATAAGGGTAGTCTTATTCTAAAGTGGTACCACAACGGCAAATTCACTATATTATTGACATTGGTCATGAAAGTAGGTGTTCACTTTTTTGCAGTTGATTTTTTTTTTTATTGTTTAAACATTTATTTCGTGTGTGCACTCTCTTCTACATATCATCTTGTTTTGTTTTAACTATAGTTTTGATTACAGTAGTAGTACATGATGTTCTTTCTTCCCTATAGGCTACACCATGAGTCAGGGAAAGGACAATGCGCGACTCAGAAGCTATAAAAATAAATCCCTCAACACAGATGAGATGAGGAGAAGGAGGGAGGAGGAAGGTCTGCAGCTACGCAAACAGAAGAAAGATGAACAGGTAAGATGATTAGAGGGCAGTTTGGCCAGCCCTTCAGTTTTTTACCCACTCTGTAATTTCAGCTACTCCGGGTTGTGGCATTCACTCGGCTCTGGTAAAGCTCAGAATCAGTTTATTTTGGTGGTGGGAGTTGCCAAAATTGCCCATGTCTGTGCTGGGGGATTTTCTAAACCATCTGGACAATTTGATTGTATTTAATTTGTAGGCCACAACATGGTTCTGTGATAATGAGAAAAGAAATTAGTACTAATGTCATCTAGGTAGAGATGGATATATTTTTAGGATTTAATCAAATTCAAGTCTTAACTGCGTGCCATTGATATCCGTCTATGATACTGTGTATGTTTCAGGAAATTGTAAGACCATAACATCAGAAAACAGACAAAAACAGCTTCAGGTCTCAGGAAAACACTGTGTTATCTCAGCTTATGTACAATTGAACATCAGGCAAAATACCCCCAGAATAAGCCACAGACAAAAAAATGACCTCAGACGGACAAGTTTGTGTGATTTTCACATTCCCGTTCTTTCTTACAAGCTTAAAAAATATGTTAATGGCCAAACTAAACATGACAACACGTTACAACCTCAGCTTGTACTGATTTGAGCTACACTAAAGAGTGTATAAGCTCTGTGGAAGTACAAAAAGCAAAAGAATTAAAGTTAAAAACACTACCTATTGATTCTGTTCTTTACTTTCTCTTTCTGTTATTCTGCTTCTAAACTTTGGAACTTAATTCCACCTTCTATTAGACAGTCAAGCTCAGTGCACTCTTTTTTTAAAACAACATTTGTATCTCTTTAATTGAAAATGCTCTACAAATAATTATTATTATTATTTACTCTTATTGGTTTTCTGCCAATAACAGTTTAATTTTTTATTCTGTTGATTGGTAGGCTATTTAGTTACTGCACACTGGCTAATAAATGAAAGCTAGCTGCCTAGCCCAGCACAACCCCCCCAAGAGTGTCCACATTTTTGCTCTGTCTTTATGTGTTAGGAGTTGGGATTGAGTGTTGACCATCTGAGAGGCCCTGTGAACCAGTTTGGGAATGACTGGGCTGGCCAGCAAGCTTTCATTTATAAGCCAGTTTGGAGTGGGACTAGGTATAAGCTTGGTCAACTAACAGAATCTTGCATTTATAGCTGCATCAGCTCCACTTAAATTTAACTATACTTGACATCCGTTTGTTCTGTGAGTGTGAGTGTGTCTAAGGGTGGGAAATATGATGATGGTGTTGATGTAAATGGAAATATCACATATGATACATGATATGCATCACAATGTTTAGTGTTTCTGAGGTTTATCATGTATCATGAAAATGTTTTCAAGTATCATGCTATTGCAATTTTTGCCATATCGCCCACCCTGTGTCTCCATTTCTCCAGGGCCGATAATAGATAGTCCATTTCTGTTGGACAGTACTCTGGTTTTAACTCATTTATAACCAGTTCCTGTTCAGAGTCGTGTATTGCTTGACTTCTCTAGATTAAGGATTAGGTCACAGTCAGCTGAAGCTTTGTTTTTGTGGTCTCGCAGCTGTTTAAACGGAGGAATGTGGCTACAGTGGAGGAAGACTCCACACTGGAGGATGACGGCATGTCGGACAGTGGCTACCTGGAATCCCAGGCCAATAACATGGACCAAATCACGGTAAGAGTTTAACTCTGCAGTGAAATTGCCTAAATGGCACCACTGACTCTCCTAAGGTTACCTCACTGTCCTTCTCTCTGTGTACATCTCTCTGACTGTTCATTAGTTAATCTGTTTGGGAGTCTATTGATCTATCAAAGTTTATTAATTAATTAAATTATTATTTTTTGTTATTAGGGAGGTGTTATCTCTGAGGACATGACCCAGATGATCTTCTCTAGTTCTCCAGAACAGCAGCTTATGGGGACACAACGCTTCAGAAAGCTTTTGTCGAAAGGTTAGAACACACACACATGTGCCTGCACAGTGTCTGTCTTAAAAATGGAATTCCCCCAGTTGTTCTAAATTTCTGCACAATTTAGTGGTTGAGATGTAAACAAAGACATTACGAATTGTTATCTGTGAAATTGTTTATTGAAGAGAAATTTACTTATATCTTTCCAGTGGTAATGATGGGAACCAGGGGTTGCAATATCTACAACACAAATATAGTCATTTTATTTACTATCCAAAACCACCAGTGAACCCTCACATATCTTTTTGCAGTAGTATTTATTATTTTGAGTAAATCTTTTGTTTTACTACATGAATACCTTGATTTTTCCAAGCACTAACAGAAACATTCATCTGAAAGAGTAACTGGTCAGGATGCTCACAGGAACCAGTAGAAACACTGTAATTGGTTAAAGGGCTCGTTTAGATATTGCAATTACAGTTTCAGTATTGCTAATGCCAGTGTCACAATGTTGATTAGCTGATAATATATTGTGGGATGTGTTATGTATAGCTGCTAACATCATTGATGTCTGACTTTTTATTAGAGCCTAACCCACCTATTGATGAAGTCATTGCCACATCTGGTGTGGTGGAGCGCTTCGTGGAGTTCCTGAAGAGGAGGGAGAATTGTACCCTACAGGTGAGTACACATACAGGAAAGGCACATTGATATTAATCTCACCATGTGCTAAATGGCCTGGATCCTCCTGTGAACGCTTAGACTTACAGAAGCCATGAGTCAGTTACTCATCCAGGACAGAACGCTCTCAAGAAAAAGCTCATGCTTTAGGAATGTATCTGTGTTGCAAGTCTTTCCAGTGTCTTCATCTGTCCGGCTCTTAAGTGCATCACTGAGAGGCCGAGCGCCGTATAGTGATGAGTGCTCTGTCTCCACAGTTTGAAGCAGCGTGGGTCTTGACAAACATCGCCTCCGGCACGTCCCACCAGACGCGTGTGGTCATTCAAGCTGGCGCTGTGCCCATATTCATAGAGATGCTCAGCTCAGACTTTGAGGATGTCCAGGAACAGGTATTTTTAACCTACAAAACACAGACACAATCACATAGTTCACAGTGAAGGTTGTTAAATTGTACATGCACATACCTGGTGATGTTTGACACAGTAACAGTAAAGTTGTCAAAAACACAGGGAAAATAATTTTGACGATTGTCTGGCTAAAAAGCCATGCCACTTGAATGGGAAAGAACGCAACAACGAAAAATGTATTTGTTTCCGGTTGCATCACGTTACACTTCACGTTGAGGACTATACATTCCCTCCAAAACCACCTCAAATTAGGAGTACTTATACTCGCCTGACTTTTGCTCCACCCCCATGAAAAAATAGCGAGGCAGCAGTCTGTGACCACAGCTTTATGTCGGTTATACCATGCAAAATTATTTTTTGCCCTAAAAAAGGGGCCCACTCTGAAAAAGATAAAGAACCCCTGCTCAATTATCGTTGATTACTTCATTAAAAACGAGTTTTAGTTTATACAGAAGTCACTGTAGTTCACTTTGTCATCTTATTTGCAGGCTTCATCACTTATTGTTAGGTATGGGCAGTGGCGCTCCATAACTGTTGGACTTTGTTCAGACTTCAGTTCAGGCCCTAAATGTCAAGACTCGGTCAAAAAAGCAAGGAAAATAAAAGTTAAAATTAAAGTTATTAACATTTCTGTCCGTTCTAGATTAAACAAGTACATTAGAAGTAATTTGTTGAGACACTTAACCAACATTAACATATGTGACCTTGTTTTTAGCAGTTTTACAGTGAATCAGTTGCAGTGAAGAGTTGCTGCTGCTGAGTAATGTAGTGCGCTCAGAGACACTCCACATAAACTGTGCCATTTTCTCCTTTGTTTTGCTGCAGGCTGTATGGGCATTAGGCAACATTGCAGGTGACAGCACAGAGTGCAGAGACTATGTGCTGGATTGCAATATCCTACCCTCCCTTATACAGTAAGTTGTTATAGTATGTTATTATTATAATTCTGTTTTTATATACATATATAGCTGCTGCCACTGTTTTTCATTTCTAAGAATTAATGTAAACCCATTGGTTAAGCTACGACTCGCATTTACACTTGCGTATCTAGAACTTCTAGAAGGACTAGAGTCATGTTTTTCTTGCACAATTGGTCCCACCCTTTATAAACCAAAACATGATCGGCTTGTACAACTGTCATATTCTGATTATGTTGGTAGTTCATCTGACATGTATGGCCTTCTGCCCTACTGATAGGTGGTGTATATCAAATATGGTTGTTCTGCTTTACAGGCTACTGGCCAAACAGAACCGTTTGACGATGATGAGGAATGCGGTGTGGGCTCTGTCTAACCTGTGCAGAGGGAAGAACCCACCTCCAGACTTCTCCAAGGTGAGAGGCACCATTACCACCTTTAACAAATCACATCTAGATTTCCATCTGTAACTGAGTGGAATGGTTTTTAAGTGGTTGCATGTAATAAATCTTCCCTTGCCACATCTCAGTTTTCTGAAAATGGAGTTTGTAATGAAACAATATTTATAATGTTATTGCAAGTGGGCGGGGCTGAACTGTTGTAGGCTAAGTAGTTGGGTCTATGGAAATGTGTTTTTGTGACATCACAGAATTCAAAACAGTGAATTTAAAACAGGCTGTTTTTGCAGTTTCATGTTATTTCAAAAGAGTGAGGATTTTTCTTGATATGGGCCCTTAAAGTTGCCTATGAACATCCTAGATCAGATTTGTGACTTGCATTGCTAGCTATCCACCTTGTACATGCTAATATTGAAAATAATTCTTTGCAACCACCCCATGAAAGCTTCTCATTTTAGCTCATTTTAGTCTGATCATTTTAGTCCCGTCCAGATACATAACTCTGAAATTTTCCAGGCACATGTTGCCTCACAATGGAAACAAAGGTTTTTGAACGCTGCTGCTCAGCATATTTAGCATGTATGTCCATATCAAACACTTCCTGAATCAGAAAACAGTGGATACTTTGGAAAAATCAAGCTCCATCTTTTCAATTATAATACAGTGCAATTACACCGACTGGCCACTTCATTAAGTACACCTTCTTTTATCTATGCTCTTTGCCTATTTTGTCAGGTCCACCTACCATTTAGGAGCACTTTGTAGTTCTGCCGTTTCAGACTGTAGTTTCTCTGCATACATTGTTAGCCATTTTCACCCTGTTCTTCAATGTTCAGGACCCCCACAGGACCACCACAGAGCAGGTACTATTTGGGTGGTGGATCATTCTCAGCACTGCAGTAACGCTGATGTGGTGGTGGTGTGTTAGTGTGTGTTGCGCTGGTATGAGTGGATCAGACACAGCAGTGCTGCTGGAGTTTTTGTCCACCCAATGTCCACGTTATTAAACACACCTACCTTGTTGGTCCACCTTGTAGATGTAAAGTCAGAGACAGTAGCTCATCTGTTGCTGCATAGTTTGTGTTGGTCATCCTCTAGTCCTTCACGGTGGTCACCGGACGCTGTTGGCTGGTTATTTTTGGTTGGTGGACTATTCTCAGTCCAGCAGTGACACTGAGTGTGATCCATTCGTACCAGCGCAACACACACTAACACGCCACCAGCACCTCAGTGTCACTGCAGTGCTCAGAATGATCCACCACCCATGTAATACCTGATCTGTGGTGGTCTTCTGAGGGTCCTGACCGTTTAAAAACAGGGTAAAAGGGGGCTAACAAAGTATGCAGAAAAACAGATGGACTACAGTCTGTAATTGTAGGACTACAAACTCACAAGCATGGCATGTGGACCAAAGTGCAGATACAAGGAGGTGTATCCAATGAAGTGGCCGGTCAGTGTGCATCACTTTGTATTCATGTATGCACAGTATCCTCAGCTGTTTAAACACCAAATTGCGAACGGAGCATGATCATATGTGCTTGTGTTAACAAAACGTGCACTGAAAATACAACCCACTAGAAACTCACTCATCTGGTGGTGATTATATTTCCATCTGGAGTTTTGTCACTGAGGAAATGTGTAAAAAATTTAATTACAGATATTCCCCTGATAATCTATCCAGTATGAACATGCCATATTGTGGTAGCTTTAATATCTGGCACAGAATCTTCACCACAGAAGTGGAGCATCTTAATTCTAATTTCAGAGCAGCTTCAGTGTTTTCAACTGTCAGTTACTTTCTGAGGCTTTTACACATCCCTTTACCTTGTAGATTTAGCTTTAGTGAACATTTTTTCATTGGAGTAGTATGTACAGTAGGTGTGAGCATGTAATCTTGGAAATGTTTGCTTAACGAGGCCTTTCTGATAGACTGAAGGTTAAGTGAAGTCTGCGTGTTTGTCCTCTGTGCTTGTAGGTGTCACCGTGCCTCAGCGTTCTGTCCTGGCTACTCTTTGTGAACGATACAGACATTCTGGCTGATGCATGCTGGGCGCTGTCCTACCTGTCTGATGGCCCCAATGACAAGATCCAAGCCGTAATTGACTCAGGAGTGTGCCGCAGACTGGTGGAGCTGCTCCTGTAAGATGTTTCACATTGTATAAATACAATAATAATTAACTTTATTTATAAAGCACTTTATTTATACAGGTAGCAGCGTGAGAGGAGAAAGTGATAGGAAAACACAAAAGGCAAACTTGTTTGATCAGTCAATTATAATGATTACTGTTAGTTGCAGCCCTACAAGATATGGTATACAGTACTGTGCTTCAACAAATAAGTATAATACCAAATATTTTATATTTAGTGTGCCCACCCTTTGCCTTTATTAAAGCTTTCATTCTTTTCAGGAGACTTGCTTTCAGATCTTCAAAGAAATCTGCAGGGATATTTTTCCATACCTCCAAAGTTTAGTCTTAGAAGCTGGTTGCACTTTCTTCTTCTCATGATCCAAGTAATCCCAAAAACATTCAGTAACGTTGAGATCTGGACTCTGGGGTGGTTAGTCTTTCACTAACGATTTCTTGACAGCTGCACATCCTTTCAGACCCATAGCGTTGAGTTGTCTTTTCCCAATGCTGTATAATGAAGTACTTGAAAACAGCAGTGTTCAGGAGTAGTTTTCATTCAGGCACATTCGTTTTTTGAAACAAGACTACAATAATCTGTAGTAATTGGTGATCAACAAGTTCGATTATACTTTCCTTTTTTTCTTCCAGGCACTCAGATTACAAGGTAGTATCTCCTGCTCTTCGAGCTGTGGGGAACATTGTTACAGGAGATGACCTCCAGACACAGGTAATAAAAGTACAGTGACACTTTTATGTGCTGTCCAGTTTCTTTTAACTTTTAGCCATGAATTCAGCATTTCAGCAGTGCTGTTTAACTTTCCCTGTCAAAATGAGATTCTCCGTTTTAAATCCGCCTCTATTAAAAGACTAGGCCTAATCTCACTTCTGTAAACTGGATCTGTGGGTCTCAAAGTCATGACTGGTTGCCTTTTGTCTGAGCAGGTGATCCTGAACTGCTCCGCCCTGCAGAGTCTCCTTCACCTGCTAAGTAGCCCAAAGGAGTCCATTAAGAAAGAAGCCTGTTGGACCATCTCTAATATTACTGCTGGCAATCGGGCACAGATACAGGTAAATCTGTTCCTGCCTCTGTGGACACTTGAATTGTTGACTGTGTTTTTGTCTAAGACAGTTTTTGCCCACTTCCTTTCTTTCGCTGTCTCTAGATGGTGATAGACGCAGGTTTGCTCCCTCCTCTCATCAGTATTCTTCAAGTGGCCGAGTTCCGTACAAGGAAGGAGGCAGCGTGGGCCATCACTAATGCCACTTCTGGAGGCTCTGCTGAGCAGATCAGGTGAGAAAAGGAAAACATATTGGACCCCAGTGCTTGTTATTTTATTTTTTGTAAGGTAGTATTTCTTGATATTCAACAACCAGAGAAAAATAGCAGTTTTTATCATCCTTGATTAACGAAGTTGTGTTTGAAAGGTGATTGGGATGTTTACTTCCCTCAGTCCAAGAGCTTGTTAAAAAGGAAGCCAATTGATGAAATTGGATTAAGCTAAGAGGGCCTGTTGAAGACTTTCAGGAGGGTGCTGCATTGTAGTTTGCAAGGACAAGTTCAAATGAGCAACATTTTAAAGGTTTAGGATGGTAGTCATTAAAGCTGGCACCAGAAGATTTTATCTGTGATTAGCAGTTCAGTTTCTGTTCATCATTCATAACTAATGTTGAAGCGCCTGTTGTGGAAATAAACAAAAAGGATTACAGGCTTTCTTTTCGTTTGGGGTGGTTGATAGCCTGGTAGTAAGAGAGGTGAGTCAGCAATCAGAAGGCTGGGGGGTTCAAATCTCAGGACTGGCTGAGTAATCCTGACAACCCCCCACTGCTAAGCTGGCAACACTCTGCTGCCCCACAGACATAAGGTTGCCTACACACTAGACATCGCAAGAACAGACTTGTAGACGCATACATATGCAGATCTTGTCCATCTAGATGGTGTCCGCACAATTGGTTTGTACAGTTCGAAATCCAGGCAGAAACAAAACATTTGAACCAGAGACCATCAAAAGAAAATTTTGGTGATGGCCATGTACAGAGCCAAGCAGAGCACAGCCACGAAGACAAAGGTCACATAGAAAAGGAAAAGAGTACACAGTGTTGCTACTCTGCTCCATCTTGGATTTTCATCCATCTTCTGCCTGCACATTTCTATTGGTTGACTTGCCTCCACGTCAGAATCCGTTGCAGCAAAAGTTGAAATGGTTTGAAATGGTCTTTTCTCTGCATACAGGCACGCTTTTATTTCAACAGAGCTGATGCAGCGTCCTAACAGAAATACACTGGGGGACTGTTTTTGTGACACTGCGTCAGCCTTTAGTGTGTAGGCACCCTAAATCTCCCTTGTAAGTGGATCAGTAAAGTATAACTTCACTTACAAATTGCATAAATGTATTCTGCCAGAAATATTTGCAAGTCTTTTTCATTCATCAGTAAAGTACAGTACAGTGCAAAAGTTCATTTCTTTAATTTCTAGTTGGTGTTTAGTGTGTCCACCCTTTGTTACAGCTTCTATTCTTTTCAGGAGACCTTTTTACAGTGTTTTCAAATCTGTGGGGATATTTTTTCACACCTCCAAAGTTCAGTCTTAGAAGTTGGTTGCACTTTCTGGTTCTCACAGTCCAAGTAATCCCAGACACATTCAGTGATATTGAGGTCTATACTCTGTGCACTCCTGAAAACTTGTACTTAATGTGTGTTTTTACTGCATGTAAAATAAGTGAATGGTGGTCTCTGACATTTTTACAGTAGGCTGTGTGCCATACAGATGTCAGAAGTAAGTAGTTACTGAAATGCAGGAGTGTGCCATCCTGGACATTTTGGCCAAATTACGGACGTGCCAGTTAAAAACCATAGTTTTAGCACGTGCATTAAGCAAAAATGACAAAGTTTGTGATTTAGTAATTATAGTGACATAGTTACTCACTTCTGTCTCTTACAAATAGACACCTAGTGGAGCTGGGTTGCATCAAGCCTCTCTGTGACCTTCTGACTCTGATGGACTCCAAGATCGTGCAGGTGGCTCTGAATGGCTTGGAGAATATTCTCAGACTGGGAGAGCTGGAAGCTAAGAGAGGAGGAGGAATAAACCCCTACTGTGCACTCATCGAAGAGGCATACGGTAAGAAAGTCCTACCAGCTGTCTGTGTATGTCTGCTCAGCACTTGCACTGGATTGCTTGTTCATTGCAAAAAACTTGCTTGCTACTGTCCATGCTAACGTCTAAGCTTAGAAGTTTTGGCCAGAAGTTAAATTTCCCTCAAATGTAGTAGAGCAGCCAAGACATGTTTGGTGCCCAGAGTTTACATCTTTAGTTTTGCATGGGAGCTACAAGGCTAATAACAAGTAATTAAAGCTTATAGCCACCAGTTAGCATCATGCAGATACCTAAATTATATTGCACTTGGTTTAAACTATGCTGAGCTGTTAAAAAAAATCTAAAATAAGGTGAGTTCTGACATTGTATGACACACTTTCATCTATAAACTAAACACAACTGTGGCATAGATAGTGAAGTAGTAACATATTCAAGCCATAGTGAGAAGTCACACAAGTCGCTAAATTATACATTTTGGGTTGAACTGTGACCTCATTGTTGCATTTTGTTGTCAATACTCAAGTCATTTTTTTGCTGCCCCTCTTCAGGTCTGGATAAGCTGGAGTTCCTGCAGGGCCATGAGAACCAGGAGATCTATCAGAAGGCCTTTGACCTGATCGAGCGCTACTTCAGCCCTGAGGATGAAGACCCGGCCTTGGCACCCGCAGTGGACCTGCAGCAGCAACAGTTCCTCTTCCAGCAGTGTGAGGCACCCATGGAGGGCTTCCAGCTCTAAACTGCTTCCTCCCTCCCGCTCCACACAACCCATGCAAGAGGGAGAGATGTCCCCAGTCCCACCTGAGAGAATGATTAATAAAGATCATGATTATTGAGAGTGTGACTTCGCAAGAGCCTGTGTTGCTGGTCGACCCCCCCGCCCCTTCCCTCTGCCTGCTGTCACTGGTCCTATTCTGAAGAACCAGATCTAGACAGCCTGAACAAAAACATGACCATCAGATCCTACCTAGCAGAATGCAATCGCCTCCCTGATAATTACTCCCATTGCCCATACTGTCTTGCATTAATCCACCACAAAAGGAATTTCCCATAAGCACCTAAACCCGTCCAGTACAAGCAAGCGTCAAAGAAGCCCTGCAAGACTAAACCAGGAAAACTCTGCATCCAGCCACGAGTTGATGGAAGCTTGGATTAAACTTACGGCAATACTGACTCTTGAGACAGGTGGCCTGTACATGATCCTCTTTTTCATCTGTAAACACTGGACTGACCGTCTGACTGTGTACAGCGCATCCTACGGGCGCTCCCAAAAAAGAGGCATGACGTGGCCAGTGTGCCCTGAAGACTGAGAGGAAAAAAAGACTTCTACTGAAGGCGACGCACTTTTACTTACTTGTTAGACCAGGACAGCTTATAAAAAGACAGCTCTTGTTGAGACAACGGAGGGGTCCAGACTGTTTTGTGACTGACTGTGCCACTTTGGCAAAACCCTTTTGCATTCAATCTCATGCATTCCTACAGTGACTGAAAACCAGCTGTTCAGGCTTCAGCTCGCTTTTCGTTCATGATGACGCATGCATTTGCACCTTTTAAGAATTCTGGGAGTTGGAGTCCTACATGCGCACTGAGACTGTTGGACAAAGACAGACTCCCTTTCATTTTTTTTCTTGAGCCTGTGCATCAGACCTTTTGGGACTTGTAAGAGGACAATTCCATATGATTATCAATATTCATCATCATCAGCACTTTATGTTCAGGACAGAAAGCCTTGGTTTAAATCGTAACCATCTTCCTTTCCATGCAGTACTTGGCCCACATTTGCTCTCCGGCTCCTCAGGAATTGAGGGAAGAATGGTGTGCATATGGCGCGCACCCAAATCACAGGACATTCTTTACAGAACTAAACACACTAAATATATTTTGAGTGCAATCTCATTGCCTCGCCCTGGCTGAAAAAGAAACTTTGCCCGTTTTGAAGCTTCCTCCACCAGTCAGACTCTATGGACATTTAATGAGCTGAAGGCTTGGCTTCCCTATGTGTTTGACACACGAATTTTAATATGACTGATCATGACGATTCCAATGTTCAGATGACCCCACATTATATGGTCTAACTAGAAGGAATATGAGGAAAAAGTATACAAAGTAAAAAGCTGCATTCCTTTTAGCACATTTCTTAAGTTTTATTTTTTTTGGGGTAGTATCTGTCAGTACCGAAGGTGCCATAATTACTCCTCATTGTGAAATTAAGATTAAAGACAAGACAATAATAAGAAAAAAAAATCTAAATGAATCCAAATTAAACTTGAAACATAGTGGTGATTTTGTTAGCTCAAAAGCTAAACAATTGTTTACTAATTTTTTTTTTTTAAGTCAGATTCTCCCAGAGAGATGACCAGCTCTTCATGTTCAATACTGCTGTTGTATTGAGATTGTGTAACTGTTCTCTGTTAAGCCATTTGCATAAATGCTGTTTCATGAAGTCTCATGCTCTTTTTCCATTTTTGCCCATCTTTGATAGTCTGATTTTAGTGTTTAATATCCAGGAAGTGTCGCTTGTTTGTCACTTACTGTCAGTATGTAAGCTTAAAAAATGTATATAACAGGGTTCTCAAGTTAAGTCTTGGATCCTTGTTTATTTTTACATATTACTTTACATTTTCAATTAGCACTCAAGATTCATTCCAGTGGCTAATTATTGAAGTATTTAATGAGGTGAATCAAGTGTTCAAACAGGGAAACTGTAAAACAGTACCAGGGTAATGTTGTCAAAAGCACCTTCGAAAGAAGCATGCACAATGGTACACTTCAGTTGTGCCAACAGATTAATTTGTCTTGGCTCTCAAAGTGAGCTGTGATGATAATCCACAACATAATTATGAAATATTCAAAATACAAAATATTCACCCTTTATATTCTGAGCCCTTTTAAAAATGTATGAATATTGATAAGCTGGATCTGGATAGGTAACACTCACTGGGTAAAGCACTCAAGCTTTGGCCTCCTTGACTTGGTAGTTAGTTCCTTTTAAGGATATTCTGTGGCCTGAGAAAGTATTTTGTTAGCACATCTGAACTTTCAAGAATTTTTATACAACTCTAAATTTCAGGAATACAAAGTGCCCAAAAAGCTTTGGAAGTTGGTGTACTCAGAAGCAATGTCCAGAACAGAAACGGTCAGATATAATGTTGCTCATATCAAGTGGAGCTGATGTTACCTCATGTTTGATTATATTCTTTTACATAATTGGAAATCCTGTATCCTTGTACAAAGTTGTTTGTGACATGCGTTTTTCAGTGTATCTGAAATCAAAATTGACCTTTTTTTTTTTATCTTAGTTCATGTCCAAGGCATTATGATTTCCAATTGCATTGGCTTTAAAGTGGATTTACTGACCTATATATTATTTAATTGTTGAGGTGTAAAAAGTCTTTCACAGTGGTTTAGTGCGAAATGACTCATTGTAGAAAAACCTGACAGACTTCTTTACAGTGGTGATAAAAGGAACCAGACGACACCATATCTACAACACAAATACAGCCATTTTATTTACTATCCAAACCCACCAGTGAACCTACTCGTTATCTTCTTTATACGTAATATTGAGTGCATCCACTGAATATAACAATATTAAAAAATTCCTCCCGAATGTTCCTCGAATTTGGCTTCCTATTCGCATTTTCCTGTTCCACTTTAAATCGTGCAGCAGTTTCATTCTACGCTTGAGGTGCCTGAATGTAAAGGCTGCACCATTGAAGGTGGAGCGGGAAAATTCAATTAAGGTCACTTCATAGAGTGGAAAGGCATAAGTAGGTTACCCTGTTTCTGATTTAAAGGTGGGCAACATTAACTTATTTTTGCTGTTTCACAGAACCAATAGGTCAGTATTGTTTTGTTCCGTTTGCTAATATGATGACAACTTGTTAGCTTCACTTGCTAACCCACAACCTAACGTCAGCTACATTATTTGCTATGTGGTTGGCCGCTTTAACGTTATATCATGGTATTTGTCCAGACATTTGCGCCCTGCAGGAACTCCAGCTTATCCAGACCTGAAAGGGTTTTATGGCCACAAAGACCTAAAAAACAAGTTTTCTAGCCCAGTGTCGTTCACCCTGGCAATGTGATTACACAATTTTGAGGGCAGAGCTTCTGAAAGAGCACTGAATGGAGGGATGCATTTGTTTTACTATCGATTTCAAGTATCAAGTCATTTTCCAGAATCGTATAGGGCGCCTTTAAACAATGTCTGGGCCATCAGGCAGTGCATTCATAACCCATTTGTATGATAACGCTGTGATGTAGCTTTTACCTATCACCACCACTGTTAACAATTCTGAATCAGGAAGTTTATATAGAACAGAGCATTTCACTGCAACCCACTTTGAATTACTTTGTTTACATCTTAACCCTTTAATTATAAAGAAATGTAGAAAAATTCCCCTTTAAAGCTTTTTTGTAGTTATGTCCTGTTAAATCATCTTTTCTGTATGGTGCCATATTCTTCTATTCTCATGCTTAGTGTCATATTTCTAAGCAATAAGGGGAGGCTAAGGTTTCTTTACTGAAGAGAATGACTATTTAGAACAATGAACACTCAAAGAACCCTTTGCATGATTAAAAAGTTCTTTAGATTGAGGGAGAATGTGCTGTAGATGGTCCTATGTAGAACCTTTTTGAAAAGGGTTCTGCTATTGTTACGATGTCAAGCTTGTGACAGTAGAAGAACCCATTTTGGTGCACATTCTCCAACGATCTGAAGAACACTTCCACGATTCAAATAACCCTTTAATAATGCAAAGGGTTCTTTGGGAGTGTCCATGTTCTTAATAGAACCATTTTCTTTACTAAATAACTCTCGAAGAACCATCTTTTTTAAAAGTGTAATTTTAGGTACATTAGGTACACTGTTTCAAAGAAAATAGTCCTTTCTGCAGTCACTGGGAAACATTCAAATGCTCATTATTATGATCAAAAAAACAACAGAGCGAAAAAAATTGGCTGCAACAGCAAGTAATGTCTGTTCATCAGCTAAACGTTACAGCCTGCAAAAAGGAGACCAATCAGCTACAGGACGATTCATTTAATACATTTAAAAAGTCAAACATTTCTGTATATAAACAAAGTCACACAAGCTAAAGGAAAAGCCTGTATCTCTAGCAGCTGCTCGACACTCACAACGAACAGCTCAGAACAGGAACATTTCTATACTAGCAGAGACTCACTTTAGGCAAGCGATACTGAATGGCACACTGTATATACTATAATGTGTGCACTATAAGTGACTTTTTTCAATGAAAATTCTTTAGGGGTCCCAGGGGAGGCTGGTGCTCTAACTGTGGGACAAAGCATCCTCACTGCGGTTTCTCGGCGAGAGCAGCCTCGTCCCGCGCACGCTGTGCCTCCTCTCTCCACCGGGCTTTTTTCTCCATGTTCCTGGTGGTCAGGTTGTCATTGCGGCTCGCAGCCTGCAGGGACAAAAATATTTTTAAACAAGAGGACAAGCAATAACACTTATTCTAATTAGGAATGTCTCAGTTTGAGCTATGATTGATATTGAGACCAATCCATGCATATTTTAATGCATCTGTGTCAGCTATAATAAACGGGAGTTCCACCGAAATGTGCACATTTCTGTGAAATTAAATATTTAAGATGTAAACAAAGTCATTCAGAGTGGTTTGATGTAAAAAGCTTGGTTCTAGAGAAACTTGAACCCTCCCCCTCCACACACCGGCCCCCATTTCAGGACTGTAAATAAAATGTCTATATCTGTGTCTTGTTATCACCATCACTTTAAAAGAATCTGACTTTGTTTTTCTACAATGAACCATTTTACATCAAACCACTTTGAAAGGCTGTTTACGTCTCAACCAGTAAAATGTAAAATTTTGAAAAATAGGTGGTATTCCCCTTTAAGGCCTAATAGCGTTCTTTTCTTAAGGTTATTTTACCCCTTTAACACCATTGTTATAGAGGTGCATAAATAGACAGTTTTAACGTTTTTCCAAAGGTAACAAACAGTTTAAGTGTCTGCAGTGTGGAACTATTTTAAAGTGTAAATTATAAATAGTCCAAAAGCCACTTGAAATATCTGCAGTGCCAGTGTGTCAGCTGCAGAGCCCAGAATTGGAAGCATGTTAAATTCTCAAACAACTCCTATGGTGCAAAAAACTAGGACATCTCCAGTTTGAATGCCTCTATCCAAGATTTTAAATTAGCAGCAATAATCAGTTACATCTTTTCCGAGGATGACCATCCAAAGGCAGGCGATGAGGGTCAAGGCTATCATGACGTAACAGGCCTTAACACGGACTTTATTCCTGGCTGCGTCGATCATCTCAAATCTGGGGGGCACAGAAATGACTGGACTTAATGAACAGCATATACAAACCTGCTTTCAAGATGGGAGACTCAACAACTGTTAATTAATCAGTAGCCAATGAACTGAAATCACTAGAGTAATTGGGCACTTTAATCCAGTAAGAAGTGGCTGAAGTGGCTAAATCTCTAGAGAGCATGACACCACTGGTGAAGAGGAGTGTACTATACAGTAAGAGCATGTTTTTCTAGTTAGGACTGATATCTGTGCATGCAGTCTTGTTGATTGTTGCTGTTAAATTTCATATCTCTGAAGTAGCTTTAAGCATCATTTCAGAAATAGTACCTTTAACTTTTAATGTACAGACGATTTCTCTTGAATGGCATAAAAAAATATTTATAAAGTTTCAATATGATACAGCTAGTAGCAAACCATGACTGTTGTGGTCCAAACTGTCCTTTTGTACAACTCCTGAAGTCCTAACCAATGGGAGAGCTCCCTTGTCTGTATCTCCCTAAATACTACAGAGAAAAAACATCTGATTTAATAATTTTCCGTTAGGCATTTCAAGATTTTAACCTGTTTGTTTCCAGCCAGAGTTTACATACAACAAGAATGATAATTCTGTTAACTAGCACAAAAAAAAAACAAGTTTCTAAACATCTGGACTCCTTATATCGATAATGTGTAAGCAAGGTCCTGCATCCCATCATTAGCAATGTATGTAGATGTGTATATGTGCCACATCTGGTTTGTATTAAACCATCAGAAACTTGACGTTCTTTGATGTCACCCCAGATATCAGCAATTACGCCAATTAACTGTACAGCCATGGAGACTAGGCCTTGTTTGAACTTCAGAACAGAAGCTCCGTGTGCTTGGCCCGTGAGCAGACGCCACGTAACATAACTTCATAAACTCACGGTATAGACCAATGAGAATAAGAGAGTGGCACGGTGTGAGGTCTTTGAGATCATCCAGCCTGTAAACAGGAAGAAGCCACTTACGACACGTGCTCTGGGATCTGTTCTTTGGTTTTGAAGCGTCCAGACCAGACGAGAATCCTCTTGTCCATCTCTGATGGCCGGTAGCCTGGCAGTTTGAACCCAGGTCGCTGTGCTATTAGTGAAATCAAGGGAAATGAGGAAGACAGAGTCACT